CACTGACTATACACTTGTCTCCCTCATTTATGAACCCAGCCTTACATAGTTTTTTCTCAAGAAAGTCTTTGACAGTGTCCTGCAACAAAATGTTTACTGCAATCAATTCTAATTCATCATTTAGCTGTACCTCCACAATACACAAAATCAAGCATCTCACTTTGTTTTAATCTGTGAATGCTAAGTTACTGCCATTATCAACAAGAACACGGGGACTATTCTCCAACATTGTCTGATCTGCACACTCTTTGACCCAATAGACCTCCTTATTGATGCCACCCTGCAGCCAAAATAGAGAGTTCATTTGATATACATACAGATAAGATCAATAAAGTCGCATCAACCTTACCGTATTATAAATTGGCTGCTTGTTTATGGTGGTAGATGAATTGCTTTTTTCCCCTACAAAGGTATTATGCTGATACACACTAACATCATTCATTTGTACTTTTTTCTTGCAGGGTGTTGATGTAGCAGGAAGTTGGCGAGTCTGCTTGAAGGACTTATCTTTGATAACAAAGCTGGAAGTAGTGATGTCTTCAAATTCTAGACACAACACATGAATCCAAATGAAAAGCAACTCTACAAAGAGTAGTAATGTTATAGGCAATAACTCACTTACTAGTTTTATGCAATGTGGCCCAATGCTCGGTGGAGTCTGTTATGGGCGAACAAGAAGAAATAGGAATGAGTTGATCGTCTCCTGCGACAGTTATCTCGCCAAAGCTCTGGTTGAGATCTTCAACATTCTGGTTTTGAGCTGAGGAGCTAGCACTGATGTTTGGCTGTTGGCTGATAAGCTGATACAGAGTCTTCATTATTTTTGAGCGTAACATTCGCTTCATTAATGTTCACGTACAGAAGTGACACAGCTTTGTCAGGGAGTTGATGAGCTAGGCCGGAGTCCTCATAATTGACAAGCACTGCACCCTTGTGATTATCAAGAGTGCGAATGGGCTGATCTGGCAGTGCTATTAAATTGAGCTGTGCAACAGGTGGCTTTGCTCGAACAATCGGTACCTTGCCACGCCTGGTCTTGCTCTTTTTCTTGGATGGTGATCGCAGATCTGACAATAGACATGACGCTTACAATATAGAACAAACCAAACACACACAACAATGCACAAACGTCAAGCGCGTGACATGAAAATGATGGGGGAAAATTTGACAAATTGCAAATGTACGCACCATCGTCACAACCTGCTTTAACAGGCTGCGCGGGACTTTGGCCCCTTTTCGCTTGATTTAAGAGCCGAAAGCACGCATGATGGTCTGCAAGAATGATTTGTTCAAACATCGCAATGAAAATAAAGAATAGTTGGTAGACAGGTGCTAAAAAGATTGGGGGTATGAGTCAACTTACCCATGTTGTAAAGCGCCACTTTGGTTTGTGGCACTTTAACTTTGAACGCCCGCATTTGATTATCATATAAAGTATAGTCTACTAACTTTTCAGCACTCATTTTGTTTTCACAGTCAGTCAGTACCAAATCCGAAAGCGCGCGAGAGCTTGGTCAGCTCACACAACCTGACCAACCTCAAGCAACCAGCCTATCTGTTTCGCTGCCCCAAAAGACTGGCCTATCTGTTTCGCTGCCCCGAAAGACTAGCCTATCTGTTTTTCGACGCTTTCTGCATCGCTGTCTTCTTTTTATTGTGAGTTCGCCAATATAAAGAGTAGGAAAAAAGTGAACACTGCTGCCTGTTCCTTGAAGATCAAGGTACAAATGGCCATTTTTATTATTTTTCTACCGTTAATATTAGCAAACCCACAATGAAAAGAAGATGGCGCTGCAGAGAGCGCCGAAAAACTGATAGGCTAGTCTTTCGGGGCAGCGAAACATATAGGCTAGTCTTTTGGGGCAGCGAAACAGATAGGCTATTCTTTCGGGGCAGCGAAACAGATAGGATATTGTTGCACGGACGCGTCGAATACCTTTGTGCGAGTCGATATAAGAAAAGATTGATTTCGTACATTTCAGCCCTTTTTAAATCGGCTGCTGTTCAAAAATGAGCTATCCGAAAAATACGGCAATGGGGTCAATTTAAAGGCATTAAAACATACTTTCAGATAAACCCTCATTCAAATTGATAACTTTCTATTTGCCTCTACACCATCGCCGCAAAATCAGCAAAATCCAACACTCCGGCCAACTTTTGTATTTTTCGATATATTTATATTAACAAGTCCACTCTGACATTATTTTCCGACTCTGAGTAGGTTTTCTGTGTATGAAAGACCATTTGGAAACACTTCGGTCCTCCTGCACCTCCAAAATAACTCAGTAGCCATCCTCAAAGTAGGCCGTTTTCCCATAAGAATGCACTGCGCGCCGGGACGCCTGGAGGTGGGACTCGGCAGTCCTCCCCACTCTATTGTACTTGTTCGACTCGTTCTCGTAAACGAAACAAACAAGAGAGAGAGCGAGACTTCTCCGTTCTTTTTTTAAACAAACGAGAACGAGAACAACAACGACGGCAATACACACACACAAAATTCTCATACAGAAAGGATGAAACAAAGCAAGAAAACTCGCAGGGCTGAAAGTCTCCGAGTTTAAACAATTGTACGGTTCCTAAAAGAACATTTGTTTCCTTCTTTGAACTTCTCAGACTTTCCCGTTTCTAAATATACGTTGGTTGACCACTTTGGCGGTCATTCCGGTGGATTCCATCACGTAGCGCACGTAACTCAGACCCCGGTCAGGCGGGCGGGCGAGCGGGTCGGGCGCGCTTGACTTGACAGCTTCTGCAGCGGAGGAGCGGTGGGGGAGCCTCCCGTTTGCCCGCCACTCGCGGATCCTCCGCGCGCCCGCCCCTACCACCGCTCTCTGTATCCGCTTCTGTTCTAGAGATATGTATGAGTTTGAATTTTTTTAGAAGAAAGGTTTCAACCAGAAAATACCATCGCTTCGCCCTAGTGCCGCCCGAGCAGCCCGCGCGGCCGCGATGAACATAAACATTCATCGTTTAGGAGGTGGGAGAATGTTATAGTTTGCTCTAATTGACATTACTTGGTATGTACGCATAATTTCGGAATCTTCAGTTGAAAGCCCAGAGAACACGTTTCAAACGTCGATCTAATATCATTTCAGGTTAAAATGCGGGTAGAGGTCAAAAGTAACAACTTCTCAAGTCAAGTTTTGCGTGCAGCTTTGATTTAATGGTAGTCGAAACGGACGAAACTGTTTTGGCGCTCACTATTACTTTGTTTTGTCACAAGATATTTCAAAAGGTTGCTTTAGGACTTGAGTCAGGCAAGAGGGTGTCGTCAAGACGCCGTTGGCTCAATAGTGGCAAATTTTAGTCAATATGGTATTATTATTGGTTGTGCGAATAGCGAAGCCTCCTACTCCAGTGCTCAAAAAGTTTCGCGTTTCTCTGCCTGTAATCACATTAACTCGAGAACGCTTTGAGCTAGGTACGTGGAATTTTTATTGTATTTTTGTTTTATAAAAGATAAAAACTGTACTTATTTTGAGACTTAAAAATAGACTGAACCAATTTCGAATCAGATTTTTGTATTCCCGCCCTATACCAAAAGACACAGGTTTTAGAACAATCGCGTACGAGGGCACCAAAAGGTTAGATCTTCTTTTACAAAGAGCAAATTTTATTGGTGTCCGTAACTGCACCCGTTTCGGAGTTCCTCTGTCAATTCAAATGTGTACATTGTACACTTAAAATAAAGTGCACACGACATGTGTGCTTTAAATAATGTGTACATGGCATGTGTGCTTTAAATAATGAGTACATACCCATGTACACTTTTATAAATGTGTACATACCAATGTTCACTTTTATAAATGTGTACATGCCGGTGTACACATCTATTGAAGTGTACATACAACCGTTAGTAATTATGCCAAGTGTACACTTTAAAAGATGTGTACATGGTCATGTACGCTTTAAAAGATGTGTGCATGGGTATATACACATTATTTAAAGCATACATGTCATGTACACTTTATTTAAAGTGCACAATGTACACATTTGGACTGACAGAGTATGGCATTTTGAGTACGGACGTGAATTTGTTCCGAAATAGGCACATATGAACTCAGTCTGGATCAGCTTTGGATCAAGATGGTGATTTTGCTATCTTGTTGCCTTACAGTGGTCGGCTCTAGGGGCAAGCAAGATTTTGGTCCACAGTTCACGAGGTCTTAGAATTATTGCCTGATCCGAAATAAGCATGTGCACCTAATTCGGATCAAATGAAACTAATAATTTTAAAACCGACCAGCAACACACTCAACAGTAGTTTTTAAGTAGAACAAGTGAAAAGGACGATTGCACATCGTATTCTTGACCAGCCGGAATGCCTATTGCGAGAGATCGAGATTACGTATTTAGAACGTATGTATGACTTAATCGATATAGAATGTAATAAAACTGGCAAATATGGTCCTGGACAGTCCTGGATGACCAGGTATGAATCCTAAAACCAGGCGTCCGTAACTTAGCGGGTGTAACATAAACGATCAACTAAACGTTATGAGGTGCTTATATGGTAAGTTACGGACCCTTGGTGTCAGCGCCGCAGGCCTAGGTAGATGTGTAACAGGCGCGTCGCAGCGTAACACTCGTGACAGTGTTTCGTGAGATATCGCGAATCCTGTTACGCGAAGTAAAGTTCATTCGGCTTAAGTTTCCTCTGGCAATGAGGCTTGAGCGGCGGCGCTGCTTCCAGCTCCGGCCGCTGGGGCGCAGCACGCTCTGAGTCCACTATGAGAAATAAACCGGTCAGGTGCGCCTATCAGATGGACCATACACGTTTGAAACCAACAATAACTTAAATAAGATCCCTTTTCAAGTGATAATACGACTTGATGTAATTGCAGAACCTAACCCACACCCCTATTTTGAGCGAACGATTTCTCATAGTGGACTCAGAGCATGCTGCGCTCTAGCGGCCGGAGCTGGAGGCAGCGCTGCCGCTCAGGCCTCATTGTTAATAAAAGGGAACACTGGTCTGATTTGGGATATTCAAACAAGAGGTGGTGTTCAACGGCCCCGAGGCAGACCTGTTCGCGCTTGCGATCTCACCGGTGGTGTTGGTGGTCCTGTGGCCACTATGTGACCTCGGTGATGGGTTGCTGGAGGCCCGCGAGCAGCTCTGCACATCAGCTTACTCCGGACCCTGGCTCGAGGAGACGCCCTCGCAGACCCGGAGGCGCCTGCTCATGATGAGCTTCTCGTACGGGCGCCGGGGCCTCCTGCGCACCCGCGGCCTGGGTGGAGGCGTGCTCTCCCGGGAGTAAGGGATGCCATTAAAAACAGTGAAGAATTATATTGTTTTATCGTTGATAAATCTGAAGTATGCACATTTCGGTATCAGGGCCTTCGGCGACGGCTTGATAAACTGGGTCAAATTCCTCAACGGGATCATAAACTTAAAGACCCTTTCAAAAGATTGAATCTTTAGAACCTCGAACTGGCTGCTGATCCTTCTTGACATTATAGTTTTCAGCCAAGGCACCTTTTATTTATTAAAACTTACACACTTACTGGATTTGTATCTTCTGTGTGTCCGAACCTAAGCAATCAATTGTTTTGCACACATCTCTGCGTTCATTTGAACACTTTTGAGCATTCATTTGTAGGAAATCATGCACTTTGTCGTAATTTTTTTTGCAAAACGAAACGTAGGCTTAAATTAAATTAGTGTGAACATTTGCACAAAAACGTTCAAAAACATTTAGTTTGTAGTATTTAGAGGTTTGGAACAGGGGTTCATAACTGATAGTTGAGCTTGTCTGGCCAGAGGGGGACTTCGGAGACTACAATTTGACTGGTGATGATGGCAAAAAAAGGTAACAACCCCTCAAGTCAATGCACCGTAAGTTTTAAGTCTCAATCTAGATTAAGGGGGGTTTAAAGTTTTCAAATTAATAGTCCTTTTGATTCTGATTCACGAAAACCTGAGGATAGAATTTGAAACTCAATAATGCTGGAGAAATTATGCGTGCAAACTGTTAAGTAAAACAGTCATTTTTTTCTCTGCGCTTGAGTGTTTGGGGCCAAAAATATAGCTCCATACCTACAATCTATTGTTGTTTCTTAGTCCCTTAGTTTCTTAGTTCCTTAGTTTCTTAGTTCCACTCACTTTGACCATGGTCATATATAGGTCAAAAACTATATTTATCCATTTATATGCCAAAAATCAATTTGAAAATTTTAACCCCCCTGAAAAAGCCACTTTCGATGAGAATACTTTAAATTAGTGTCCTTTTTTCCTGGTTTACAGAGCTATTAAATTTATTGAATTGGAAAAAGATAGCCCTAAAACCAATGATATACAACAAAAGAACTCTGAAACCTCTTTGTGAGGCGTATAACACAAGGCACCTGGGAAAATACCTGTCAGACTGCGAACCAGCAGAGGAAAGTAGCAATAAGTCTAGAATTAGGAAAAGGTCATCTAGTCAAAGCAGCTCAGAAAGTATTGCTCAGCCAAACAAAAGGCATACAGATGGCAGTGATGAGAATAGCGGTAGTCAGGGGGAAATTGTTGAGTTCCCTTAGGCGTAGAATTTATAGCGCACTTAAGGTTTTTGTAACGAGATTTGTAATTGATTATTTATCTACCAAAGTGTTTTTTCTTTGGAGCATTATGAAATGTTTATTTTATTTTTGAAACCAAAAACAGTTACTGATGTTTTTGTTTTTACATTATAGTTTCTAATCGAATGACCAAAGTAATTTTTTGTAGGGTTTATTCTACCGTAGGATGTACATTTTTTTTGTGTGTGTGCGAAATTGTTTCAGATACAGGTGTACTGTATATGTGTGCATTTATAGTTCCTAATCCAAGTGACTTCAGTAAGTGATTGTTCAGTTTACAAGAGGACATATTTTTGTATGTACAAGTACAGGATCTGAATAAAGTTCAGAGTTAATTTTTGATGTGATATGTAAGATGTCATAAAGAACATACATGCTATGTCCTATGAGACATATAGGACATCCCATTGGACATACATGCTATGTCCTATAGGATATACATAATATCTCCCATAGGACCAGGTTAAGACATGGTCTGGACATGGTCTGGACATGGTCTGGACATGGTCTGGACATGGTCTGGACATGGTCTCTTTTGACCTTCAAATGTCTTTCATGTCAAAATCGGAAAACTGAAACAAAAAGACATCTATTTAAGCCATAACACGGACATCATATGACCATGTCCAGTTGTTCTATTTTGTATGTCCTGTCGCAAACATGTCTTTCGGCTCGTCAGGGAAGCTCATACAATCGGCAATTCATCTTGCAACTAAAGGCAGATACGCAGAGGCTGACCAATTGGGAGTCATGCTCTTATACGAGCGACTGACTGAGTCCTGAAAAGAAGAAGGTTTCGGTCTTGTAGGAATTGATTGTGCTAGAGCGCCTAAAGAACTACTGAAGAAGCTTGGTCTCCCACCCTCAGTGAAGGACACTCTTAAGTGTACATCTGAATACTGCCCCGCGAAAGGTCTCATCCAGGATTTATCCTACAGAGCTATTGATTTCGATGAACTGAAGGGCAAAATGTCAAATCTGCAAGGTGTCTTAGATGCCAACAAAGTGGTTGAGCCGTCCGTGTGTTCAAAGCCTTTTCCTGAGACTGCTGATGTGCCCTTGATAGTGTTTTCGATCGGGCGGGTTAGCCTTCTTTTCGCTTGCCCGACGCTCCGCCGCCGTGTCGCCCGACCCGACCCGACCCGACGGAACTGCTGTCGGGTATTTTGGGCGAGCCGGACAGCGTCCGAATGATCACATTTCGACCGCGCTTTCACAGGGATTTCGCACGCAGACCCCCGCTCGGCTGGTAGTGGACCAGCAGGGCGAGAGGTGAGGTTGCGGGAACAGGTGACGCCTAGTGCGGCTATGGGCGCACCGGGCAAGCCAGACTCGTCTTCAGCGACGAGCTGCGAGATAATTAAATCTCTTGTATACTGTGTTCAACATTTTATCGTATTCCTGGATAATTGTCTGATGTGTAAAGTGAGACTCTTGTAGTTAAAAAAAAAGTGTAACAAAACATGTGCTGTAACTTAAGTTACGGCATAAAAAAGTAAGTCCAATACTTTTACAAAGTTAAAATAACTCTTTTATTTTTTAAAACGTCGTTAACAATTTCCATGATGGTAATGTATGACGTTTAAGAAATGGTAATATTTAAAATATTAGTATATTTTGACTGTTTAGACAGTGATTTTGCTGGCTTCCCCTCTGAAAGCACAAGAAAAAAATTCTAATGGCTATGAAAAAAAAATCCATAAAATATCTTACAATTAGCCGCCATGATGCATCATGCAGTAGTATATCAGTAAACTGATAAACTAAGTGTTTAACTGCTCAATACTTGCAAGTGTGCAACTGCAAGTTACACACTTGCAAGTCTGCAACTTGCAACTTGGGCACTTCCTACACAGTGAGCGTTCAATGTAAGGAAGTGTTCAACCAAAGAGTTGCACACTTCCAAGGGTTGCCTATCCAGAGCAGGCGATGGGCCAAATTTGAACCCAAGTTTTAGGGTGCTCAAGGAGAGTACATATCATGCCCATGTAATATTTTAAGAGTACAATTTTTTGGGGTGGGAATGCCGTGTTTTTCAGAGCACTTGCGCAATTAGGCGGTTGAACCGTCTCGCCTCCACCGCCAAGCTACGCTGTGTAACTATAGACCCTTTCAGCGCTCCCACGGTCCCCCCACTCCAGCGGCGCGTCGCCTAGCAACGCGATCCAAACAAACGGAGGTGCGCAGCCAGCGCGCTGGACCGCCCAGCGGCGGGCGGTGCAGTGGTCCGGCGCGCTGGCTGCGCACCTCCGTTTGTTTGGATCGCGTTGCAGCCAAAATACCGATTAAAACCGAAAAACCGGTTCACCGGAATAACCCTAGCCGTATGTGTTCCGTATTTCAACATTTGACTGCCAGTGAATTTCCTCAAGATGGCGCTGCAGTCAGCGCGTCTCCAACTTAAGGCGTTTTTCTATTAAATGAGAATTTTCTGAAGACACAGGCTTTTAATTTTGCGCAGAATGTGTTCATCAACATTTGTCCTCACCGACTACATGTTGCATTTATTCAGAAATTTAATCATATTCCAGAAGTAAATTGTTTATTTTTAACGCTCGGAGGTCCCGACTACGACGTCGCTTGGTTAGGTATGACCGCCTTCACATCCGTTAAGCATCGGGACTCTGAGCGCTGCGGTCATATTTTTGTAACAGCGGACTTCTCACTACCAGAGTCGTTTTAGTGGGGATGGCGTGAAGGTCTACGCTTGTATCTAAAAATCTAAACAAATACGTTACACATACGGCATTGCTCACATGCGTTCCGTATGCGTTGCGTACACGTCGCACATACAGGTCTCTCAGGCACATGCGTGGCCCGCATACAATTAATTCGTATACAATTTGTATACTGAATCTATTCGGCCACATATATTGGAAACGTGTAATCATAGCCGTATAATACGGAGTGTATACGAGATGTACACGGGGTAGTTTTCACGGGCACCAAAAGGCAAAACATTTAAGCGACCACGCGTGGCACATGCGATGTCTATGGGAAAGAGAACAGGTGCCGTAGGTCATTAGCGAATCATGTCCGTGGACAGAAGATAGCTGGTGAAGTATTTTCACATCTCTTTGTTTGTTTGTTTGTTTGTTTGTTAAACGTAACATTCTCTAAAACTAATTATTTTTTGTTTGACAACAGATGCAGCTTTACAGCATCCAGATCAGATTGTGCTTTTGTGACAGCACACTTTTGATCAGATTGCAAGAGAAGTTTTGATAACCTTGTCATCCAAAGTTGCTGTTGGAGACAAAGGCAACAAGTACTGTGGTCTTGTTTGTTTTTTTAGAATCACTACAAAATGGGGACGATGGCAACACCCTCTGTGGCATTGCTGATTCAAAGGCTCTATGGAGTGAAGTGTTGAAGACAGTGTGTGATTCTCTGACTAAATGTTTGGATACCTCAAAGTTTCTTTTACCTTCTTCTCGACTATCTGTCATCCTAAAAGATACTGAAGAATTACTTAGTGATACATCTCTGAGAAGTGGCCTCTCCAATAACATTGGAGAATTTTATTCGTGTGACAGATCAGTTGTACATTGTTTTTCACCCACGACTTTACTATGGCATGTACTGAGGCTGTTTTTCTTTTTGTGGGCAAGACACTAAGAAGTTCAAGAAATACAGATCAAGTAGCTGAACTAGTCGTCAACCTAGATTAGCGTAAGTCGTATATCGCTTATTTTCGATTCTTGGGTTGTGAGAGTCTTTTCCAGGCGCCATTTTGGATGAAAACTCCTGCAAACATTTTCTAAGTTTTTTCCTTTAACGTTTTTATAACATACACATATACCTTGCGGCTTTTTATAAAATACACATAAGGAAAGGAACACAGAGAGCCAGTGCAGACGAGGGAGAGGCGCATGAGAAGTGTTGTGGCCTACACGGAGTTCCTACGCCAGGAGCGAGGTATGCTAAGTTACCTTCGGTTAATGGGGAATATTTACAGTTCATAAGTTCTATTGGTATAGTGCTTTTACATTGTTATTTTATACTTTTTTCTAAAATTTGTTGACTTGTGTAAGTTTTTAGGCATTTATCTATGTATGTATATTTCCTCTGCTGCCATATGTGAAAAGTGTACTGTGATGTATTAATTTGTTTTGTATTGTGAAATAAAGTATCTTCTATTCAGTATTCGTTGCGCATTTAGCAGTAAGCGAGTGTGTGAGTCCGTCTCTGGTTTCCCCCGCTCGCGCCGCAAACGACCATCCACCGGCGCCGCGCCGCTGCCGCACGGAGTGCGGAGGGAAATGTCTCTTTTCTCCCTCGGATTCCCCCGCGCGCGCCTCAATCGACAATCCGCGCCTCGGCCCCGCCGCAATCGACACTCGACCCTTCTGACCTGGGGGATTAGTGCCTCAAACGACCATACGCCGGCGGCCGGCAGGACTTCCTGGCAGGCGTTCTGACAGGCACTTCGGGCTTATTATTGTACTACTTATCCCACCATTTAGCAGAGGTGCAGCACCTCACCCACCTTACCCCAGTGGAACGCCAGCGCCTACAGAGCGCCTATTAGGTGTCCGCCTCAACACTACCACCCTAAACTTCGCGAGAAAAGCGCATTTTCGGGTGGTTTGCGAAGTTTGGGGGCGGTGTGGAGGCGCTTTTTAAAAGCACCTATTATTAGGCACTCTCTCGGTGCTGACGTTCCACTAGGGGAGTTCGACGCGAGTTCGACGCGAGTTGGGGGCGGGCAAGTGTACAACGAGTTGGCTAGTGGTGGACCCCTCGCCTGAAATCGAATGACGATCAAGAAGGAGTGTGACGTCGTATCCGTGCGACACATTTTGTGATGACAAATTACAAAACATATCGTACATGTACAAACATATTTTTCACAGTGGAACGTCTTGTGGCGCTGGCGCACGTACAGTGATACACCGTACACTCACGTACGTTTCCACCACCACCACCACCACCCTATTTTATATTTTAAGTCAAAAGTTTTAACCCGGTTCAGGAGGCCCCAACTGTCTACCGGTGAGGCGTTCATGCCTTTCGCGCCCGCGCCCGCTCTACCCTCCGCCTTGCGCTTGCGCCAGGGCCAGACAGCCAATCACGAACAGATAGAGAAGAAAGAAAGCAGCGCGGAGATATTTACTGCAGCCAAATATAACCTTATTTCCGAGTCTGACAACTTATTGCTTTGTGCAACTTTATAGTGTGTTGCTGACGTATTAAAAGCTGTTGAATAGTAAGTCAAAGTGATAATGCCCGTATATATCCTCTTATGGTGTTGGTGCTGTATTTTAAGTAGTTTTACCATAGTTTCGAGAACTTTAACCTTTCCAATTTGCATTGTAAACTGCAACCATTAAGTGTG